CAAACGTCACTATTCTGCGCTGAAGTAGGCGAAAATTGTTAATGAACTCTGTGTCACTGAAGCGAAGCACATCACCACTCACCACTCTTGGCTACATCTGCGCATCCACACGTTCCTTTCAACGGACGTTGCTGCCACTGCCCCACAAAACGCCACGGCCAAAAACCTCGTCCTTCTCAATCTCTCCTTAAAACAAGTAAGTTGTTCATGTTCTGGCTCTGGTACGAGAGGAACTTTAAAATCTCCAGGTGCTCAATGCTCGCGTCCATGTTTGGACAGCTTCCGTAAACACAGAGCACGCTCGCTGTGGTTGACGTCATCGTGTCTCCAGTGCGCATGCGAGACACTTTCGGGCCATTTAATGTTCACACATACAAGTCACATTTAATTGGAAATGTGAACAACCTCGCAAAAACATCGGATTTCATGAAAAAATCGGAATGGAGCGTTAAGCACTGCAGTCTGAACGTAGCCTAAGTTCCTTCTGTTTTATTCATGACCATAATATTAGTTTTGTTCAGTGCGTCACTAATGCGTGGTCGTTGTTCTCCTTTAAGCTTTCGTCTTGCTTCCCTTGATAGTTGTGGATAAATTCTTCATGGGAGAATGTTTATCCTTTGTGGACCTTGTTGGATGAAGATTCGGTGACGGGTCAGATTTATGAAGCTGGTGGAAAATACGCAAGACATTTCCTGATCGCTGTAGGAAACACTAATTTTAGAAAAGAGCATAGGCCAGTCTTCAGTAAAATATCTAATCTAAATCGGAGGCTGCATGGGCCATTTGTGCTTCATTCATTTCATGTAGGCCAGGGGTGTCCAAACTTTTTTCATCAAGGGCCACATATCTAAACACAGATGAAGCAGAGGGCTGATCGAGGGCCGTGGACTGGAGCTCAGTACAGTGAATAAATGAAATATGTGCATTAGAATGAACCATCAGTCTTTATTCATGCTTAGATCCTTAAAACCATGCACTAAATATTAAATATGAGCTTTATCAAGGTAGGTTTTCAGAAAACTTGCAGTAAAAAAATAATTTTTATTTGATGCAAGGTAATTTGGGCCATTTCACCTGGAAGCCTGAGGGCCAAGAAAAATGTGTCTGAGGGCCGCATTTGGCCCCCGGGCCATAGTTTGGACATGCCTGATGTAGGCGATCTGCAGAGAATATGACGTATTGAAATAGTGATACAAAAAAATTTCGGAAAACCAGCATATCGTAATGAAGGGATGTCGGAATAGGCATCAGACTCCGAAGTTGCCATAGTAACCATACTTGGAGTTGAAATTTATGCAAAGCAATGTCAGGATGTTACGCAAAATCAACTTCAATGACCTTTCAAAGTGTCTATGTCAGGTTAGACTACTCATTTTTACTAAAACACAGTTACGATCATTATATTTAAGATTTCAAACTTTTTTTTTCTTTTTTTACAATCTTTTTTTAGGTTTACATTTTTACTTCTTGGTTGAAAATCATGATATGCTGGGGATTTCTGGAACTGTTACCTAGCAACTGTCTTTTACACTAACTCCTCAAAACTCCTCAAATGTACACAGAAATTATTATTTAACACATACAAATACAAGAAAACACCTTTATTTTGTTGAAATAATGTTTATAGTATCAGGAATAAAAAGGTTTCTTGCGTGTAAAATTGTGTCGAACATTTGGATAGAACAAAAAGTGAATTTGTGGACTCAACGTGTACATTGTGACAGGTGTTAGCGCGTCATTGCCCGATTTGGACCCTGCCTGATTTGGCACCGTTTTTCCAACTGCAAATGCCCGGATAGGCGTCGGACCCCGAAGTTGCTATAGTAACCATACTTGGGACTCATTTTTGAGAACAGAAATTTACAAAGTGCAAAAAATAAGTATGAAAATGGTTAATAAATGTGAGAGAACAAAGCAGAGGTCATCCGATGTAAAACAGCAAACTTATGATGATCATGGGGAAGGATTTCTAAGAATAAACTCTGTGAAATAGTCAGACTCTGAGCTATATTCTTTTAAAAAAAGCACTACTTGGCGCTACAGGGGATTTAACACATGATTAACACTTTTAAAGAGTTAAATGAGCTAAAAGAAAAATTGGACTGGACCAAACTGGACAATGACACAATCTTACAGCTTAAGGCAGATCTTGATTAATTGTTGAAGGCTGAGTATGGATGCAGAGCTATTGAGCGATAAGAGGAGTATTTTATATATTTCAGCTGTTTCAGTCACAAGATACAATCACATTTTCACTATAACAGTTGGCTAGACACTGAAGGTTAATTAACAAGGTTTAAAAATAAAATAGGCTTGGCCACTGTCTTATAAATCATGTTCACCCTAGATAACAAAACGTGACTCTGCAGGGTAAACCCCGAAACCCAAGAAAGTGTTTAAAACAAGTCAAAGTTCAAAATTATATAACAAAAATAGATAATTAATAGATAGGCCAAAATTCAGTTTTTAACAAACCCATGTTCATTTTCAGATGTATGTTAGTAGGCTGTTTGGTAGCATGCTATGGCAGGTTTAAAACACAACACATGGCAACAGTCTGTTTACAAGAACAGGTCAAAGTTCAAAGTCAAAGTAAATTTATAAAGCGGTCTTTCCTCTAGGGCACATTCCTCATCTAATTTTGTCAAACAGTAGCCTCCAGTCAAATTAGCTTCATCTGTGTTACATTCCAGTGGAAACAATAGACAGGCCTTTGAACAAACTGTGTTTCTTTTCTTTCTTTGTGTGTGTGTGCATTAATCTACTTTTCTGTAAATGCATCAGAATTAGCCAAAGAAGCTATTTTTCACCTGTAGTCCCTGGACAGAGTTATTCTCCAGCTAAATCTTGAAATTTAGGTTTAAAACTTAAACTGGGCATTTTGTCTTGATTCCACTTGTTACTATTGGCGTGAGGAGCCTGTCCACAGACCTGCATTTCTAGTAGTTGTAGAATTACATACAGATCATATCTGATGTTGTTTTCACTGCTGATGTGATCAGAAGCACTCATGTTTAAGTGTCGATATTCATGGCTGGAAGTGACATTATTTGATTTGTTGTAACAGCTCTGTCTGTAGTCCTCATGTAACCCATGAATATTTCAACCCCAGCAACTCCAAAACCAAAATCTCTTTATGTATGACTAGGCTATTAGCATTAGCTATAAATATAGAGTCATCATACATAAGCAGACTGGGCAGTTATTCCTGTTTTTAGTTAACAAGATTGTGAAAAATTGCAAGATAGTAAAATCAAGGATTATTATGATACAAGTTTACTCTGTATTTTCTTACTCCAAAAGCAGGGTTATTATGGACATATATATTCAATTGTTTAATTCCATAATTAAACAATTGAATATATATATATATATATATATATATATATATATATATTATATATATATATATATATATATATATATATATATATATATATATATATATATATATATATATATATATATATATATATATATATAATGTATAAATTGCCCACGAGATAGCCTGCAGTGGTGCCTGTGGTGATCGGAGCACTTGGGGTCATAACCCCCAAACTGGAAGAGTGACTAACAGATACTGGAAAAAACAACAGACATCTCAGTCCAGAAAAGTGCAGTACTGGGAACAGCAAAGATACTGCGCAGAACTCTCAAGCTCCCAGGCCTCTGATAGAGGACCCGAGAGGCTAGGGTGAGAGACCAACCACCGTGAAAGGTGAGAAACACACACACACACACATATATATATAATATGTGTGTGTGTGTGTTTCTCATATATATCTATATCTATATATATAAAAAAATAAAAATAAAATGTGTTTCTCACCTTTCACGATGGTTGGTCTCTCTCACCCTCATTCAGCTCGGGTCGTCTATCAGAGGCCTGGGAGCCTGAGAGTTCTGCTCAGTATCTTTGCTGTTCCCAGTACTGCACTTTTCTGGACTGAGATATATCTATCTATCTATCTATATATATATATAGATAGATAGATATAGATATAGATAGAAATAGATATATATAGATATATAAAACCCCCAAACTGGAAGAGTGGCTACAACAGATACCGGGAAAAACAACGGACATCTCAGTCCAGAAAAGTGCAGTACTGGGAACAGCAAAGATACTGCGCAGAACTCTCAAGCTCCCAGGCCTCTGGTAGAGGACCCGAGCTCAATGAGGGTGAGAGACCTACCATCGTGAAAGGTGAGAATAGAATATATAAATATATAAATGTGTATATATATATATATATATATATATATATATATATATATATATATATATATATATATATATATATATATATATATATATATATATATATATATATATATATAGGGTTTTCCTTGATAGAAACTCTTTACCTGCAGAGACAGAAAATCACTACAACTTGTCTACCTTGTAAAAATGATTCATTTAATTGAACAATACATGTCCTCATACATTTCTACTTAATCAAAGTGCAAAAAGCGTCTCTGTCTCTGTCATATTGCTGCATGTCACATTCCTGCGGCAGGCTCCTGCGTGCCAGTGTGCTCGACTGTTTTCTAAAAGCAGAATCCATTGCATTGTGGTGATGATGCAATATCTGATCTGATGAGTCAGTGTCTGTCCCGCGGTGAGTACTAGCTCCAAAACTGTCCGTATGCGAGCTCCAATACTGCTATTTTTATTCAGTACAGGACACATTCCTGTCACATTACTTATTAACACGTGCATCCATTTTCTATCATTTGTCTATTACTGTGCTCACATGTTTACAGTAATCAGGAATTAGCATAGTTAACACGTTAGACTAGACTTGCTATTCAAAATTTACTCCACTGGTCTCAGAATGATTAAAAACTTTGTAGCATTGCCATAGCAATTAACAATTCAATTAAAAATGATTATATATCTTTTGAATGGTACTCAAAATGGCACCAATGGAAGCTGAAATCCATGAAGAGACACATTTCGGACAATTCAGATTGAACCAAAAATGTAAAATACTTACCAGCCATTGCGAGCCACGTCCAAGTGCATACTACGATAAATAAATTCATCCTTGTGTGTACGTTCGTAACCTGTTTGTCCGTTACTGTCATGACATCTTAACGTTCTTTTGTCACCTGTCTAGGCCTCAAATGAAATCTTCGTGAAAATCTGAAAAAAAAAAATTTAAAAACTACATCCAAAATGGTCCGTGCCCGCTGCCGGTCGGTACTCCCAGTGCCTCTTCCGTGACGGTCAGCTTGTTTTGGAGTGACCAGGAGGGTATGTCTGGGTATGGGACAGCCAGGCACCTGTTGGGAGCGTGAGCATGGAGGAAGTGTGGAGGGGGGGTGGTTATGGTTGTGACAATGGACAGAGATATTTTTGCAGGGGCGTGGGTGGGGGGTGGTTGGGAAGCGGGGGTCGGTAATGGTAGTGGAGGCCCAGGGGTCATTTGTGGTGTGTGACTGAAAAACACATCAGGATTGTGATTGGCGCGTTACCTAACCGCGGGACCAGTGTTTACACTGAGCACGGACAGGTTTAGACCAAAGGACCGGGCCGGGAATAGCATGGACACTCGCGGTTCAATACAACGCACGACCTACGATACGATAATAGGCCCACTGTGTCATAGCAGCAAAACAATGCACGTGAAATTCTGCAATATTTCACTATTTATGAGCGCAAATACATTTGAACTACAGAATTTCTTTGTTAAACCATAACCTGTACAAACTTAAAGGCTTTAGCGCAGGGATCAGCAACCCACGGCCCCAGAGCAGCATGTTGTATTTAATTACAAAGTATTTTTATTTTAGTCGGTTCATTTTTTTAATGCAATTTTACATTTGTAGATAATGGTAATCTTGTAACATTAAAATAAAAGGTTTTTAATATTTTTGTCTCTCAAAATATGGGGAGCGTGGCCATGTTCCCTCAACCCTATGTTCCATTATTTCTAAGGTGTTCCAAAATGAGGCTCTATGTTCCCACATTTCCTTTATCATCAATTTGCATCAGATTTTATCCCCATTTCTCCCAATTTGGTCGTCAGTTACATCCAACCTATTCTCCAGCAGCAGAGACTACAGATGTGATGTAGAGGTCATGGTGTAAAGCATCCTAGGTTGAAATGATTCTGAATCATCCCTTTAAATGTGGTATACAAATTAAAATGACTTGACTTAGAGTTTCATTTTGAGAAAAAAAATCTTAGAAATAAGGGAACATAGGGCTGAGGGAACATAGGGCTGACCTCAAAATATGCATCACTTCAATCAGCAGGTCTGAATCCAGTGACGTCGTTCGCTGTTAAAGGTCCTGGTGACACCAATTCACAATCTGATTGGTTGAAGCAACAGTTTCATCTACATTTATTTTGTGTTGAAGGGTCTGCAGAACGGATTGTGAAGGCCTCAGGGCCACTTCTTTGACTTTGACCCTGCCTAGCAACAAGTGACGACTGAAATGTGATTAGTCAAATGCTTTAATATGAAAACACATGTGTGGAAGCAGCACAAGCATCAGAAAAACTCTGAAAGGAAGAGGACAGAACATTTGGAATTATTTAATAATAATATAATCAACATCAGTCTGTGATTCAGAGATTCTTTTAGGCCAGTAGAGAAGGACTTGAAGGCCCTGACGCCCCACCACTGCAACAGACAGAACAGACACAAACATTCAATGCATCACACATGATGTGGTTCAGATTCAGCTGCCTGTGATTACACACTTGGCCAGTAGGTGGTGTCGTGCGCACATGAAGCTTCTTTCCTGAACCAATTGGCTCAAGTGGTTCAACACTTCATGAGGCTTCATCTCATCATCACTAGCTCAGATTAGTTGTACTGACCCTCTTGTGTTGTCTGCCTCAGGTGTCCTGGCCAAAAGAGCTCCTGGGCAGCCGAAGCACCTTAAGAAGGTCAACCATTTTGTTGGGAGGAGGGGAGCGCAGATATTTTAACTTTTCTATTTAGTATTTTAAATGAATAATGGCACACTGCTAATTTAATAAAGAGAGTTATTTTGTATTTAGATTTATTGAATCTACTTTTTAAATATTGAATATAAACTGATTGAACTTAATTGCGCTTTAAGATGACCTCACCCAATTAAAGAAGGTGGCCAGCCTTACTGTTGTCAGAGGAAGGTGCTGTGTGTGTGTGTGTGTGTGTGTGCGTGTGCGTGTGTGTGTGTGTGTGCAGGTTTTTCCATGCCTGTGTTTTTTAATATATATATATATATATATATATATATAATTATATTTTTTTTTCCATTTTTTTGTCCTGGTTACAGAATAAATGCATTTGAGATCTGCACTACAAATTGGCTCAGCTCGACTGTTCTTACACCGCTAATGTTATTATTCAGGCTATTATAGGAATGTAGAAATTGTATTCAGTTTTTTTTTTTTTAAGATGGCCACCTGAGCTCTCACTCTGTTTGCCTGATGAAAGTCTAGTGCTGAAAGGTTGTAAGTAAGACAGTGTGCAGGATTATTCTCTATATTCTTGAGCGGCCCTCTCCTCCAACACACCCGTTTCAAGAAACTGATGTGTGAATTTCTCATTCTTTTATATTCAGTTCAGTAACAAAATTGTCTTCAACATACAGTATAGGCCAAGAGAGCAAATGTTTCTGTTCATTTATTGCCCTAACTACCTGCTGAAACAATAACGTTTTCTGTCTTCCAAATTCGCACAATCCTCTTGACTTTTCTGAGAGTTAAACCCTCAGTGTGAACATCGACGTGATCTCAAAGTCAGCAGTTATATAAAAGCACTTGGCCGATGTTAGTGATGAAGTACACAGGTTCAGTCTTGGCTCAAGCTACAAAAACGCTCAGATCAATAAGGTGAGAAGCAAACCGCTACACCTTCCTCCGAGCTGTTTTTCTCTGTCAGTTCTTCAAGAGCCATAAGTCATTTTCACATAAAGTGCTTTCTTAGCTTCACGCCCACAGCCAGTTTCTCTTCTGGTCTGCCTCCTCAGGTCAGGCTCTCCTCTGTTGGGTGAAGACGAAGAGCTCACGGGCCATAAATCAGACCAGTGTGAACATTTAGACATACAGTCACAGGAGGTCAGGAGTACAAAGGTAGAGAACGCTTCAGGACAAACAAAGATAAATATAACCGTTATTCTGACCAGTGATCAAAGGTAATGAAGTACAAAAGTAAAAGTACAACACCTAAGTACAATTTCTGTACTTTAATTAAGTATGAAATCAAACGAATCCACTCATCAAAATCACTACAATGCTTTCACTTTTTACTCTTTACATACATTTTTAAGCAGGTACTTAATAAATACTTTTGCTTCAGTAAATTTTTTCATATGATACTTTTATTTTTACTTTTGTTGCCCCGGTATCTGTACGTTTACTTAAGTAACAAAACTGAGTACTGTGTGGTACATTTTTAGTGGAGAGTATGTATGACACCTGCTTGTTTCCATGACGATGCTATTATTTGTTTGGAATGATCTGTTTTATTGAAAAAAGGGGATAATATGCAAAATAAACTTTTTCAAGGTTTCTTAAAGGTTGGATCCATGCATGTTTGAGTAATCTTGTGATCTCCCAGGCCCTATTCAAATCCTCCTTGTGGTTAGTAGTAAACTTCACAAACCTGATGAAGTGTGTGATCACACACACTAGTAGTAGTAGTAGTAGTAGTAGTAGTAGTAGTAGTACAGAGAGCACAGGGGAGTGTCATAAACACAAGGGAAAAATGTTGATGAGTTGATTTCGGTGAATAAAGCATTTTCAAAACAATGAAAGGTTAACACAGTGATAAATATGTGATGTGTTAGCAATTATACCCCATAGAAGTAAATACGCCACTTTAACCTTAGGATGCAGGTTGAATTGTAGCCAGGTTTTGAGTTTCAGACTCCTGAGAATCCATCTTGTCCAGCTCCAGGCTGATCTGTTCCTCCAGCTCCATGTTCCATCCAGAGCTGTGCACCCTGCACACCAGAACCTCCTGGTGACACATAAGAACAGCACTTCAGCTTCAAGATAAAACAGGGAATTATGACATCTGAGACATCTTAAAATAGTTTTATATAGACAAAACATTAACAACTGTGCCTCTATATCAAGCCCCAAATAAAATGCTTAAGAAATCTGATTGAACCTATGCTGACCCTTGCTGTAGGCATTCCAACAACAAAATGCATTCATGTGCAAATAACAGATGAATTATTCTCCTTTTGGCATAGAGTCTCCTTCAGGAACAGTGGCAGGTTCTTCTTTATGAACAGTAGCTTCTCTGCTTTGTCATATGTCTGTCTGTTCCTCCTCTCTTCAAGGACATTGGATGCAGCACTAACAATCTGTTACTATCTGTACTTTTGCATGGAGCAGCCAAGTGCCTTGGAATGGAAACATTTTAGGTTCACTTCATTGTTATTAAGCAATAAAAAAGAAATACAGAAAATAAACCAATCCCTTATTGTTTTAAATGTGACTGATGTTTTATATTGCATTAATTAAATTATACCTTGTGTTTTTACAAATGTAAACCACTTTGTAATTAAGTTTTACAGCACTTTTAAAAACACATCGACTTATTACCTACGTGGCATCTGTGCCAAGTCAGGAAAACAGCCTTGATTGGTCCTCCAGTATGTTAGAGCAGACATGTCAAACTCACGCCCAGGAGCCAAATTTAGCCCGCGATGTAATTATATTTGGCCCGCGAGATGAAATCAAATATGTATTAGAGCTGGCCAAGCAGGTTAAAGATAGGTTATAGAGACATTATATATACATATTCTGCTTGTTCTGGATTCAATGTTTAAGCAAAACTATTATTAAACATTTAATTTTAATAAGAACATTACATATCTCAAAAGAAGAGAAAACATGCAGACGACTCCTGGTGTTCAATTTTGGCCCTAGTCCAGCTGCTGAGCAGTTGCATTCATCTGCTGGGGAACTGGGTCATTTTCCTGCTGCAGATGCATGAGATGAAGTTATCTCCTTTGTCACCTGCTCAAACGGGGCAAGAAGAGGGAGTGT